ATTTGCTGTGAAGCACAGAAGAGACAAGAAAAAATAAGAGATGATGCTATTAACGCCGTAAGGGAGTACTGAGTTGAATAAAACTTAATTTATAAAATATGTAAAGAGTAATAGTTATGACTAATATAATAGAAAAATTAAAAAAAAGAAACAAGGAATTAGTTGATGAAAATGAGAGATTAAATTTAGAATTATCAGAGAGAATTGAGGAGTTAGAAAAAAGTAACTTTTCTGAATTAGAAGAATGAATCTTACTTATCAACAAGATAGAAGTTTTCTTTGCGGTGGATAATGGGAAATGAAAAGAAATTTTTAACAAACTTATGAACGAAACTGTGGAGGAGTGAAGAAATGGACAAAAGGGAGAAAAACTTAGCGATGAGCAAAGAGATTGCATCAAAATATTTCTTTCTTCATACATAAATTCCAAAACAAGTGCATATATAGAAAGAGAAGAAAATAAAGAAAAAACTTGAAAAATTGCGGAATTAAGTAAAAAGTTAGACAAGTATCAGAAAGAGAATGAAAATTTAAGAAATTTGGTGGCTAATTTAGAAAAAGTTCCTGCTGAACAAGAAGCAGCCCAAATTAGTTGATACAAACGTAAATTTCCTCAAGAGTTTGCTGAACTAGAAAGAAATCTTGCGGGAAAGGATATTTTTATGTCCGACTTCATTAATTTACTGACAAGCAAGAGAAAAGCATTAGGCAAAAAAATTAGACTCAGTAAAAGATCATTGAATAATTTACAACAAAGTAATGATAAATTTAATCAACTACTAAATCAAGAAAGATATCAAACTCGCCAGATAAATGTAGAATTGCAGCAGGAGAAAACTAATTATCGCGATGCAGTAATCAATTTAGTTAAAGAAAAATCCCAAGCCAGAAAAGCAACTGTCGCTCTCAAAAAACGAGCCTTGGAGTTAAAAAATGATCTTAATAGTAAACGAAATGAAATAAATAATTTAAAAACTAAAATAACAACAGCGGAACAAGACTTAGGAATTGGTTTAAACGCAGAGAAAGAGAAAGAGAGAGACGAATTTGAGAGCCAGTTGGTTCATGCCCAAACTGAATCCAGAAACTATAAGGAACAATTAGAACAGCAAAAAGATTATCAAGAAGTCAAGCAAGAGAGGGACCAATTAAAAACCAAACTTAACCAAAAGGAAATTGAATACAACAATTCTTTGCAGCAGAAAGAAAACCAAATAATCACCAAAATTATTAGTGAATTGAAGTTAGGCCTTGACAAAGAAGCCAATCTAGAGCAAGTATTAGACAAAGTCAAAGAATTAATTATTAACAAAAATCCTGAAACTATTCTTCATCAGCAAATAGCCGAGAAGGATAAGGAAATCAAAAAACTACGAGAGCAAAATGAGAAGAATTACCTGCCAATCACCAGGAAGCAAGTAGAAAAAAAAATAAAGTCATTAGGTATTAAAAGTTCAATCTACGAGAAAAAGATGCTTCAACTTACTTCTCCGCAAGAATTAGAAAACTTCTATCAGGAAGTAATCAATAAAGAAATTAGCAAATCACGAGAGCAAGAAAGAAAGGTTAATAACTTGAATATAGTTTTATGAATGTTGTTTATCATTAGTCTATTATCAATAATTCTTTTGGTTATAAAAATGAAGAGAAATGCCTTGCTGACACAAAACAAGAGAATAAGAGGAAAATTAAAATAATTTGATTTTTTTAGCTTTAATTAACATTTACTAGTTATTTTTTGTAGGCTTCTCGACAACTTTTTAATAATTTTTCGGCCTGCTCTTTATCTTCAAATTCTCCTATTTCTACTTTTTTACCTTCTAAATCTTTATAACGGGAAAAAAAATGCTTAATTTCCTTTTTCTTTTCCAAGGAAATATCTTTTAATTCTTGAATATGGTTCAATCTAGGCTCGCCAGCATTTACCGCTAATAATTTATCATCTTGTTCCCCTTTATCAATCATTTTCAAAACACCAACAATTCGTATCGGAACATAAAGCCCAGAAAAGGTGGGTTGAATAGTTAAACAAATAACATCTAGTTCATCCCCATCAGGTGCTAAGGTTTCCGGAATAACTCCATATTCCTCTGGATAAGACATCGCCACCGACAAAACCCTATCTAATTCGAACCTTTTTTTAGTTTTGTTGTATTCAATTTTATTAGAACTACCTTTAGGTATTTCGACTTTCATGTATATTTCTTCCATATTGACTAATTTTACATAAAAACAGTTGGGTGGTCAAAGTTACTAAAAAATATAATTATCTATACAATGCCAACTAAGGAACTAAAAATAAGTAAAGAAAAACAGGCTGAAAAGCAAGCCAGAAATCGTAAATATAAGACGTTAATCAAAAACCAGTTTAAAAAGATTGCAATTTATTTGAAAGAAAAAAAAACAGATGAAAAAGAGTTAAAAAATTTAGTCTCAGAAACGCAAAAAATATTAGACAAGTCCAAGAATAAAAAAGTAATTCACAAAAATAAGGCTGCTCGCAAGAAAAAGCAATTATTTAAAAATTTAAACACACTAAGTAAGGAAAAAGAAGTTAATAGACATATTTAATATAAAAATCAACTTCTTTATTTATTATGACCTTTCTTGCTTTCGGTAATCATACAGTTCGCAACTTACTGTATTCCCCATATTTTACTTTTAAAAGAATGCTTTTGTGGGAGGAATATCACCAGGATAAGGAATTATTACATCTGTTAGAAAAAAAACAAATCCCTTATCAATTATTAAATAAAGAGCAATTTTCCCGTTATAGTCCAGATAAAAAAAGCCAAGGAATAGTTGCCTTTATTCGCAGTTATGATTATGTAAAATTATCCTCTTTATTATCTTGTCAACCGCACCGGAAATTTCCTTTAAT